GCTTTGCACCAGGTCTTAGTGACTCAAAGTCCAGCCCTGTCCGCCCTGGGAGGTGCTTGATGCTGAATCACAAACCCTTTCTTACCAAGAAAGACACACACGTACTTCTCCGTGAGGAAGGAGGGCTGTACTGACAGAAGGGCACAGAACAAAGGAGTGGGTAGACCCCGAGTGTTCCTGGGAGAGGTGTGCTTTCAGCCGGCTCTTAATGGATTCAGAGGAGCGTGGAGTGGGGTCTGGAGTGTGCGGAGCAGAAGGGGGTTTAGGACAGGAGCTTGTCCCTGCAGCTGGGCTGGGAGGTGGGAGACCAGAGTTGTGTTCTATTCCTGCTGCCCACTTGCTGTGTGACGTTTGTAGGTCTTCTCCCTCTCTGGGTCTTCCTTGCCTCATCTGTGGATTAAAGAGTCTCAGAGGTCCTTGCTTGTTCTCACCGTCCAGGGAATCCAGAAACCCCAGCTCCAAACCCTTTCATTAACCAAGCTGTGACGGTCTAGCTCACGGGGTTCTTGCCGGAATGAAACGAGGCCACAAAGAGAAATGCTGGGTAGCCAGAGTGAAGCACAGCCCCAGTGCTGGGCTGGGCCCACCCGCAAGGGGACTGGCAGAGTGGGGAAGGGCCCACAGCTAAAAGGGGACCCTAGTTCTGTTGTGAGGGTGGCAGCAGGAGATGCTGGGCCCCGGAAGAACAGCAGCAGCGGCACTGCAGTTTCTGGAGCGCGACTCTGCACCAGGCAGTAGGGCCAGCCCCTTACCTGGATGGTTTGTTTAATACTGACCACAACCCTGCCGTAGGTGGTGTCATCATCCCGGCTTTATAGATAAGGAAACTGTGGTTCAGAGGTGTTAAGTTACTTCCCCAAGATCACACAGCTAGTAAGGGGGACATTCATTCATCCATTAATTCAACAGATTGAGCAGCCACTATGGGCTGGGAATACAAGGATGAACAGAACCTGACAGGGTCACTCTAGAGTGCAGCTGAGGGCGTACAGTTGGTTCCATTCCTCCTGCCCCAGGCCAGGAGCAGCCTGGAGAGCAGGGTGTAGGCTGAGGTGGAGGCCTAGGGCCTGGGGAGAGGAACTAGTCAGGGCCTCCGGGCACAACGTGTGTATCAGGGTGGAGGTGGGATCTGCGCTGGGTCCCAATTTAAGTCCAGGTCTCTCTGCTTCTCCTCACCCTCCTCCTGGCCCAGCAGAGACAAGAGACCCAAGGTTAGACCCTAGAGGTGTTCACCCTGGGGGGAGGGATGAGGGTTCCTTAGAACTCCAGACTCCTGGTTGTACCCAGACCTACTGAATCAGAACGCCTGGGGCCGGAGCCCAGGAATCTGTATTGTTAGCAGGCGCCCTGTGATCCTGACATGCAGCCATGCCTGGCACTATTGCCTAGACACCTCAGGCTGCCTGTCAGACCCAGAGTCCCTGCCCAGCCCCATCTGTGAAACGGACAGGCCTGCTTCAGAGTTCTTGGAAGGGACAGAAAGGTCCTGGCTCCTCTCCTGCCCTCCAGCTCCCTCCTCACACTCCTTTCCTTGAATAGGACGTCTCCACGGGAAGTGTGGGAGTAGGGGTGGGGGCAGGGGAGTCCCGACAGCTTTCCCAGGTCACACAGACTCGGCTGTCCCTGAGTCTTAGCTTGGGCTCCGGGGAATGAGTCTCCATAGGGTTGTGGGCAAGGTGCGCGGGATGGCACTCTTGGGGAAACATCTGTGAGGGTGTGGAGGGTGCCAGTCGGGTGTGGGGGACACTGCCCACAGTGTGATCACCTGAGGCCTTGGCAACCCAGGTAGTGCTCTGGAGCTGGGGTGCCCTTCAGAGTTGTCCCACACATTAGCCAGCCATGGGTGTGGGCCGCCCCTGGGGGAGTAACCTTGGCCGCCAGGGCAATTTCCTGGTGAGGAGCAGAGCTGAGGCGATGTGTGTGGGGAGGTCCAGGCAGGGTACCCAGTATCCACCACACCTAGGCTGCCGTCCACCCCCGGCCTGGTCTTAGGACCCCCATGGGTACTCTGTTTCTGCTGTCCAAACACCACCCCCAATTGTGGGGGACAGCAGGGGTGGGGGCTTCAAGGCAGCAAATCTGGGTCCTCTCAGCACTTCCCTCCTCATCAGGAGAGCAGGCCCCTGGATGGATGGGGACAGGGAGGCTTCCCTTGGCCTCCCTCCTCAGACCCTCCTTCAAGGAGGCAGCCCCTCTGGGAGGCAGGCACCACCCCCATCACAGGGAGCTCAGCCCGAGCATCCTCAAAACCACCCTGACCATAATTCCTCGGACAGAGGTGTTCCCTTGTCCTGCCCTCCTAATCTGGGGGCAAGGGGGCCCAGAGGACTCGGCTCTGCCCAGCCCTCCCCCTCGGGCATAGCTGAGGGGTATAGCCACACCTGGCAGGCCCAGTGACGCAGGTCAGCAGCGGGGAGGCCTCCTGGGCTGGGGGTGAGCCAGGGCCTGCAGAGGCCCCTCTGTCCAGGCCAGATGGTCACTGGCTCCGGTGGAGGGCTGCCAGTGTCCGATCGGGCTCTTCACTGCCTTTGTCCAGCCGAGCTTTCAGATGCTGTTTGCTGGGGGGCTGCGCTTCTTCCCCAGTGACTGGGGCTTTGAGATGCCCATTACCTGCACCCAGCCCCCTCTGGCCCCCTTCCTCTTCACCCCCAGGGCCTCACCAGACCCTTCAGAGTCTGGTGTCCACACTGATCAAGGCCCTGCAGGAACCCAATGAGGTGACCTGGACAGCGGGCCTTCCCTCATGGTGTCCCTTTTTCCTCTGAAGCTCAGTCTGGACCAACGTTCATTCATTCATTCACTTACCCACAAACATAAATCAAGCACCTACAACAGACTGGGTCCTGCTCTCAGCCCTGGAACCATACTGATGAACAAGACAGACAAGGGCCTTGCCCTCTGGAAGCTGACACTCGACTCAGGGGGATGAGAAAACTAACCAGCAGGGTGTATGGAGATGTGATGGAGGCTGGGGGCACCTCAGAAAGGGCCATGAAGGAAGTGCTCCCTGAGGAGGGGACATCTGAGCTGGAAGGATAAGGAGTCAGCCAGGCCACATTCTGGGGGGTACATGGGAAGAGAAGAAATAAAGTTCAAGGGGGAGGAAGCAGAAAGTGGGAAGACCCTGTGGTGGGGAAGATGGGGTATGGTGGGGCCTGGGTGCGTGCTTGTGGTGACAGGGGGGCAAGAGTGCTGGATGTGGAGGAGAGGGAGAGGAGGGGGTTGGGGCCAGACCGTGAAGGCCTCGGAGGAGTTGGGTTTGACTCTGGAAGGCTTTCAGAAAGGAGAGTAACATAAAAACAGTCAATATTCATACAACCTTTCCTTGGTTGTCAGCTGCCATGGCGTCAGGCCCGACTCCTGGCCACCCCACGCGTGCAGAGTAGAACTGCTCCATAGGGTTTTTAAAAGGCTGTGACCTTTTGGAAGCAGAAACAGATCGCTAGGGCTGTCTTCTGAGGCACCTCACGATATGTTCGAACAGCCAACCTTTCGGCTGGTGGTCGAGTGCTTAATCATTTGCGCCACCCAGGGACTCCAGCTCTTCCTTATGTAAGCCAATTCATTCAAATCTCTCAATAACACTATGGTAAGTCCGCTTATTATCCCATTTTGCAGATGAGAAAACTGAGGTACTTGAATCACTTGCTCAGTGACGCACTACAGGTTAGTGGTAGAGCCAATTTCCTGGAGGCAGCCTGGCTCTAGAGCCCTAACCACTGTACCACACTGACTCTAAGGGTTCCCTCACCTCCAACATAGCCTCCTCTAGGAAGAGTTTGTTTGCTTTGCTTGAACAACGTAAAACACACCATATGGCCTAAAAAACTGTGGGGTCCTCAAGAGATCATCTTGTCCATGCCCCTGCCTCCAGATGAACATGGTATTGTAAGTTCCATTTTGCAGATGAGACTACAGAGGCCCCGAGGGATTAAGAGGCTTGTCTGTTATCCAGAATTGGTGAGGAAAGCTTGAGAACAAGAGCTGGGTGTCCTGAATTCTCCACCCCAGCCCCAACCTCTCCACCTCGTTTGGAGAAAATTCTTGGATTGTTTCTTGTCTGTTCTCTACTACTCACCTTCCCTAGCTATTCAGCAGCCTCCCATGGTGCCCACCACAGGGTGGTGCACACAGCAGGTGCATACTCAGTGTCTGTAGATGGAACACACTGGGCTGGGTGCTGGTGTCTGAGAAGACTTGAGCACAGAGGTTTAGTAGAAAGGACATGAGCTGAGGCTTCAAGGATGCTTAGGAACTTTCTAGTAAGCCAGGGAGCCAGATATTTCTGTCTGGGATGGGAAGGGCATTCCAGCCAAACGGAACAGCATATGCAAAGAGAAGGGAGACCACGTGGCATGTTCAAGGAACAGCAATGGTTCCACTGGGCCTGAGCAAAGGTGAAAAGTGGGCCCTGGGGCTGGGATGGCATGGCAGGGACGGGATGGGAGCTGTCTACCAGGCTAAGGAGCTGAGACTCTGGCTTGGGGGAGGGGGAGTAGACTGGCAGGGAAGAGGGGAAGCAGTGTGCCCTGGGAGCAAACCCTGATCTTGCTGAGTGACCTCATGCAAGTCATGTGCCCTCTCTGAGCCTCAGTTTCCCCCTCTGCACAACTTGGGGGTTATTGTTGCTAGTTGCCGTTGAGTCAATTCCTACTCATAGGGTTTTCAAGGCTATGCCCTTTCAGAAGCAGATCACCAGACCTGTCTTCCGGTGTACCACTGGGTGTGTTCAAACCACCAACCTTCCTGCTAGTAGTCAAGTGATTAACCGTTTGCGCCACCCAGGGACTCCAGTATGGAGGTGGTCCTAGCCAGTTCCTAAGGACCGTCCAGGCCCTCCGTGGACTTGTTCTCTGGTTGCTGCTTCCTTACAGCCCTGACAAAGGAAGCAGCTCCGCTGGGTAGATACGGAATCTCTTTAATGCTCCAATTTCTTGTTGCCACACGTGGCTTTCTTTGCTCTGTGATGTTCTGCCAGCACAGGCCCCGGTGGCTTGTGTTCACAACGGAGCCTGGGTCGACATGCTCTTCTTTACCTTGAAGCCCTTCCTCTTGTGGAGTCCCGTCCAGGGCAGGCTGGCCTCGTGGGCTTGGGCCTGGGCCTGGGCGTGGCCCAGCTCTGAGGGGGGTGGCATCAGCGGAACCAGTGGAATCAGCATGGCCATTGGCATCAGCGGCATCAGCTCCTCCGAGGCCCCAGGGGAGATGGGGGGCAGCTCATCAGGGTCCAAGTTGGCATCACTCCAGCCCTCAGAGCTGTCACTGGGGCCATCTGCCCCAGTGGTTTCATACTCAGATACAATGAGGACCTCGGCCGTGTCCTCCCGAAGGTTGCTGTCTAAGTCCACTGCCCCTTGGTCTGTAGCCTCTTCATACTCACTGGCTGTCCGAACATCGGCCATGTCCTCCTGCTTCTGCTCGGAGCCAGCAGCAGGGGCTTCATGGAGCCCTGCCACAGCCTGGGCAGGCATCTTGGCTTTGCCCTGGCCAACCCAGAAGAGGCTGAGCTCTTGGCGGCAGGCGGCCACGGCCAGGCTGGTGAGCAGGGTGCAGGACACTAGGTAGAGCAGGGCGGGCTGGCCCATCTGCATGAGGACCATGGCAATAAAAGTGACCAGCAGGCCCATGGCATAGGCCAAGGTGCAGGCCATGAAGTAGACCTGGTGTGAGCTGACTTGGACGTCAAAGCGGTGACAGTAGGCCACCAGGAAGCCGGGGACCACGATGTCACCAAAGCCGAGGATGGAGAAAGGCTGGTCACACAGAGTCAAGGCCGAGAAGCTTATCTTGGGCACTTTGAGCACCATGGGCAGCCTCTCGTGGCTTGAGGAATCTGCTGGGCCCGTGGCCACCTCCACCATCATGCTCTTGCCAGTCCTGGTGAAGAAGGGCACGACGAAGACAAAGAAGACGTCAAAGGCCAGCAGGACCAGCAGGAAGGAGGCACCGTTCTTGAGTGTGGGTAGCCGCACATGCCGAAGGACAAAGAGGCAGTAGGCCACACCCAGCGTGTCCTGCAGGAGCCACGCCCAGCTGTCCTCGTTGCGGTAGGACACCCAGAGAATGGTCACCACCATGCACAGGCCGGCCAACAGCAGCAGGGGCAGCTGGAGACAGGCCCGATGGCCAGGCAGGGGCCACTGGCATTGCTGCAGGGGCAGGTGGCGCACCAGCGGGGCCAGGCAGCTGTAAAGGCCGGTGCCAGCGCCCAGGCTGAAGATCCCGATCATGACATAGACAAAGCAGTCATAGAAGAAGTAAAGCAACAGCATGATGGAGCAGGACGTGGTGACCACTGCACCTGTCATGGCTGGCGTGAAGTCCACTGGTGCATCCTTGTCGTCTTCCTCCTGCCCCCTCTCGGCTGCCACCACTTCCAGCCGATGGTGACCGCCAGGCCCCCCTCCTCCTCGGGCCCGGTGCCCCTGCAGCCGGTCAGCCTCGGTGCGGCCGGCCCAGTAGCCACCCATGGCCACGGTGCCTACAGCCAGGATAAAGATGACCACCATGTTGTAGTCAAGAATGGGCTCTGGGGGCGCGTACATGGCCACGCGGACAATGGAGCTGCCGTGGGTGTGGCTGAGGATGTCCAGCATGTCAGTGTAACGGAGCACAGCCACGGGGATGGTGAGGTGTGGCAGGGGCTTGTGGGGGTCCTGGGGTGCTGGCGTGGTGTCTGAGCACTGCTGGCTGCTGGCCTGGCTCACAACGATCAGCCCGTGGGCCCCTTGGCCCTGAGCCAGCCAGCCCTTGGCGTAGAAGCTGCAGTTGCCCCTCATAACCATGGCGGTGGTGTGGCGGAGTGGCTGCTGGCTGAAGGAGCTGTGCTGGGCCTGCTGGAAGGTGTCCTCGCCCGGGCACCAGGGTGCCATGGTGTTATCATGCAGGGGCAGGAGTGGGGCGTGGTGCAGGTCTCGTGGCAGGGTGACGTACTCGGAGCTGAACAGGACGCAGTAGTCCTTGCTCCAGTTCTCTGACACCACGTGGACCACGGCATACTCCCCCCGGGCCACGGTGCTGGCGAGGAGGAGGAGGAGGAAGCCCACGGGGAGGAGGAAACGCAGGCACGCCATCCTCCTCAGCCACCTACTGTTGTGTCCTGCTGACTGTGGCTACTGGACCCCCATTCCCCCTCCCGGTGGGTGGGTGTGGCTCCTTGTCACAGAGCAGCTTTACCTCCTGTCCTAGAAACCAGGGCCACACCTACCCGGTCATAAAGCTGTGTCCTCCCTGGGCCTGGGGCACTGCCCTGACCTAGGATCCTGTCCCCCACCCTGGCTTCTGGGCAGAGAGGACATCTGGGTCCCCACTCTCTACCCAGGACCAGGTAGTTTGAAACAAGAGGTGAGAGAACGGGACTGGGGACCCCAGACAGGATTCTGGCTTTGCAGCTTACCCAGTAGGGGACCTGGGCAGACACTTCTCCTCCCTGGGCCTATTTCTTCATCTGCAAAGAAATGAGGACATTGGACCAGAAGAGTTTCTAAGGCCCCTTGGAGCCCTGACCTCAATGATATTGAGCACTTTTATTGAGTGCTTACTACATGCCAAGTGCTTTACCTGCCTTGCAAGGAGTACTAATCCACCCATTGAGCCAGAGCTGCCAGATGTCCTCCAAAATCGGTCCCCCTTTCTGCCGGCACATGGCCGGAGTTCATTTCCCAGCCTCCCTGGCAGTTAGGCACGGCCACATGACCAAGTTCTCGCCAATGGAAATTGAGCAGAAATGATGTTAGCCCCGCAGGGGCTGAGGCTGAAAGACTTGGGGCTCCTTGTCCACTCTCTGTCTCATGAGTCAAAACACGGACTGGCCTGAGATCCAGTGTTGACCATGCAGAGGAGGACAATGTCCTAAGGGATGGGAGACACAAAGCGAGAGGAACACAGGTCCCAGGGTGTCCGCACAGAGCAGTAGATGGGATGCTCACCAAGGGCTGTTCAGAAGAGATACGATATCTTCCTTAAGCGTTGAATTGCTGTGGGTCTCTTCGCTACAGCAGCCTAACTAGCCTTATCCTGATACACCCACTTCATGAATGAGTAAGCCGGAGGCCCAGGAAAGCCCAAACGGACACAGCTAAGAAGGTTGGAGGCTGTTGTGCTGGTGATATTGCTGGATCTCAGCATCTCCCAAATGTTTTGAGTTGGATTCTGGCCACATTCCCTGTCTTTCCCCTGCAGTTGGACAGACTTCCAACTGGAAAGAGAGTGATCATATAGTGGCAAGAGCTGCATTTGAAGTCAGGAGCCCTAGTCCTGCAGCCTTCAGCTGCTGCTCTGTGGCCCATGTCTTCTCATAAGTCACTGAAGACCTCCTATACATGCTTCTCCAGGCCACCCACGGACAGGGAAGAGTTGAGGAATGGGGTTGTCAAGGCAGTCGATGTGTGTGGGAAGCACCCTGGGACCCCCGGAACCAGAAAGGAGGGTTTTGGGGGCTAGAGCTTGTGACCTGTGTTCTGTGCCTCCCACGCACTGCCTGCTTTGTGCTCCCTGCTTAGTGCTCCCTGCTCAGTGCTCCTCTGTGCTCCCTGCCCATGTGCTCCTGCCCGTATGCTCCCCACTTAGTGCTCCCCCCATGTGCTTCCTGCCCATGCGCTGTCCTGTTCCACCTCCCTGGCAGGCACTCAGCTGCTTTTCTCTCTGATTCCGTGACAACCCCACCCAAGATGAGCTACCAGCCACCACCAGCAGATCAGCCTGCGTTTTGTTTCCCACGGCAAGCTGCCTCTTTGATTTAACTACTGTTTCAAGACAGGCCTCCTCTCCCTGAGGTCTCTGGGGCTGGGGAGGGAAGGAGGGACAGGCAGAGAATCTCAGCACCAGGTTCGTGCCCCACCCCCAGTCCCCCGCCTGAGTCCCCAGATCCAGCTCTTGCACCTGGACACCTGGTTCCCTGACTGCCAGGGGATCCTGGCCTTGCAGCTCTGTTCTCTGCCCAGAGCCTCCTGTTGGGTGGCCCAGGCCCCTCACTGCTTGTTTGTCCTTGTCATTCAGGCCTCAGCTGCAACAGGTCTTTCACTGTCTCCCCCACCACAAAAAAAAAGCCCCCTTCTTGGCACGTTGTTATCACATTCAAGTTTTATTGTCTTCACTGCACTTATCACCATCTTAGGTTTTTTGTTCGTTGATGTCTTTACTCGTTTATCTTCTGTCTCCCACTGGTAAAACATAAGCTCCATGAGGACAGGGACCTTGTCTGTCCTGTTCACTGCTCTTGGATTCTAGAGCAGAAATTGTTGTTGCTGATGGGTGTTCTTGAGTCAATTCCGACTCATAGCAACTCCATGTGACAGCGTAGAACTGCCCCATAGAGTTTTCTAGGCTGGCATCTTTAGCAGAGCAGATCACCAGGTCTTTCTCGCATGGAGGCACTGGGTGGATTTGAACCGCCAGCCTTTCCGTTAGCAGCCAATTAATGCTCAGGAAATATGTGTGAGATGATGAGCGTGTTTTACAGTAGAAAGGACAAAGACTAAGGACAATCAAGGAATTTTTCCAAGTGGTGGAGACCAGATTCAGATCCCGGCTGTTGGATGGTGGTGCTTCTGGCTAATCTTGTACTGCTCTGCACAATGTGCCAGGGGACATGCCGTCGACCCACTTGATGGTTGGGACTGGGTAGAAGGCTGGTGCATGGAAAAGGCGACAAAAGAGGACTCATTAAAAAGACACCTACATGATATGAGATGGTAATGCCGGGGGAACTGGGGGAGGGGGTATACAGGAACTCTCTGTGATCTTTGTGACTTTTCTGTAAATCTAAAATTATTCCAAAATTTAGAAGTTTATTTATTTTAAAAAAGATACCTATATACTTTACCCATTTTATTTTAATTCCAACGAGTAGATGCATAGTCACTGACCCTCCTGTGATGCTTAAGGTTGTGTGTCTACTTGGCTGGGCCATGATTCTCAGTGGTTTGGCGTTTGTGTAATGATGTAGTTTGGCAGTTATGTAATGATGTAGTTATCCTCCATTTTGTGATATAACGTAATCACCTCTGTGATGTGATCTGATGTGACCAGCCAATCAGTTGTAAGGGGAGTTTCCTCAAGGATGTGGCCTGCATCCAATATATATGGATGTTCTGGCAAAGCTCGCTGGCTTGTGTTTACTCTGGATCTTGCATCTGGCTTGTCATCATTTGACCTCTGGTTCTTGGGATTTGAGCCAGCAGCCTGCCATATCACCTGCCGATCTTGGAGTTCATCGGCTTCCGCAGCCTGTGAGCCAGCAGCCTGCTGTCTTACCTGCGGATCCTGGGTTCATCAGCCCCTGCGGCTACACAAGTCAGGAGAAGCCTCCAGCCTGATGCCTGACCCACAGACTTGGGACCTGCCAGCCTCTACAACTGTGTGAGCCATTTCCTTGAGATAAATCTCTCTCTATCTATATATGTATGTATACGTATGTATGGTGCCCTGGTGGCCCAGTGGTTAAGTGCTACAACTGCTGTCCTATATGGTCACTATGAGTTGGAACTGACTCAAAGGTAATGGATTTGGTTTGGTATATATATGTATATGTGTGCATGTGTGTGTATATATATATATATGCTTCACTGGTTTTGCATCCCTAGATGAACCCAGCCTAAGACACTTCCTTAAGGCCTCTCCTTTGATTGTGGGTCCACCCCTTGGAGTTCCAAACCATCTTCCTTGTGAAATCCAACCCATGAAACTCCATCTCCAATTCCCAGCGTGGGATTCTTTAAAGTGAAGAGAGAGCTTAAAGGCACTTGCCAAGTGGTCTACAAATGAAATCCATCTAGATTTTGACAATCTCCTTCTGCCCAATTATTTATATTCATCTCACCCACACCTAATTTGACAGCTGATATTTTTGTGACTCATGTGTATTGTGTCCTTCAATTCGTTCAAATGAGTGTTCATAAGAAACAACTGTCTTTGTGCTCTTCTGTTTCATCCATTAATATAACATTTAATTAGATTACAAACAGTGATTACAATGACAAGTGAACTGTCAGAAACACACCTGGGAACAAACACAACTGATGGTGGGGAGTAAACCGCACAGCTGGTAGAGGGAGAGGTGGGCAGGGCCGGGGAGGGGCTGCCTGCTGCCCTTCTGGCAGGTTCTGGTGCAATGGGAGGGGGCAGTTAGGGAAGGGAGGCTCGGCTTATGAGCTTCTTATTGCAGCAGGGTCCACAATGGGTGCCCCTCTTTAAATCTGAACACCTAGATGCCAAACAGGCAGAAGCCCCTTATGGAAGCCACCAGGGTAAGACTTCTTCTGGCCCTCAGCCTCTCCAGGCAGGGAGTCTCGGCCCCCCGGCACTGTTCTCAGGACAGCTCTCATGTGACCTCCTCTGGACCTGCCAGACCCGCATGGGCCCCAACTGGGGTCCAGAAAACATGCTCACCCCAAACATGGCTTGCTCCTGCCCTCCCTTCCTGATGATCTACTTTGGTGATCATGGGGCCACTGGGCTCAAAGAATTCTCTGGAGGTTTATTTGCTCCGAGGCTCTTCCTGGGGCTGAGCTCACTGAAAGCATTTGGGTGTCTGTTCAATCACCACTCTCCTATTCCCCCAGCCCCGTCCCACCTCAGCTTCAGTCCCACCAGCCCTGGCATGGCTCCTCTCTGTGGTAACTTGGTGCCCCTGGCAGCGAACAGCATGATGCCTTAGTGGGTGTGAGGCACACGAGGGGCTGATGCTGTCTGAACCAGGCTGTTGCTGCTCCCAGACCCTGCAACCCCCCTCCCCAGATTCCACAGAGGACCCCTCTCCTGAAGGCATCCCTCAGTCTGCAGCTCTTGCTCTCTCCCCGCGGTGGCCTGGGCTCTCAGGGCTGCTGCCCATGGCAGGCTGAGGCAATGTCCCTGCCATTCAGCTGGGGTCCTAGGTGGTGCCCGAAGCATTTGTCTTCATCTACTCTAGGCAGCTGAGGGTGCAGAATCTCAGGCAGCGAATCTCAGCCCCATGCAGCTGCTCAGGAAGGATGGGGATGGTGCCCAGCTCACCTGGCCAGACACACACGCTCGTTCCCCGGCCCAGTGCTTCCCAGCTGCATGTTTCAGAGATGGTACAGACATGGAGAAGGGC